CAAACATTAATAAAGACAAACATTAATAAAACAAACATTAATAAAAACAAACATTAATAACATTAAAATCAATGGACGGATGAACTCACCTGTGCACACTCTGCCACGCCACTGAGAGTCCCTGCAGTGTGACACTCACAGTCTGCAGGACGGAGCACACACACATTAGTTCATCTACTGCAGTATGTGTGTGTGTGTGTGTGTGTGTGTGTGTGTGTGTGTGTGTGTGTGTGTGTGTCTTACTGGTGCACCCGTCAGGAGTGTCGTACGACAGGCTCCAGTACAGAGGTTTGCACTGGTCGCAGGCTGGACCCTCCACATTGTGACGACACTCACACTGACCCTGAGGGAAAAAAACGATGAGTTCATTTCTGCTGCAAAAATCACGACTGACAGAAACAGGACGTCAGGGTGAAATCAAAATAGAACAGGAAGTAATACTGGTTTGAAATATGATTTCAATGAAGGAACTGATGACACCTTTGTATTGAAAACTATTTTTACACCACAAGCAACAGATGGTTTGATCCATTTGTTCCAGTTTTGCTCTTTTATTGAAGCCGCAGCTTCTGTCACAGCTCTTTGGTTTGTGAAATAATCAACAGACAAAGAAAATACTTACGACCGGAGGCTGCACCACGTACTGGACGGAGCCGGCAGGATGACAGGTACCGGCTTTAAAAACATCAGAGAGAATTAAAACAGAAATTCATTGATAAATAAAGAAAAGGTTGATATTGTGATGGGCACGGTCAGGGTGTGTGTGTGTGTGTGTGTGTGTGTGTGTTTACTCTGGCAGTTGGGGAAGCCGTAGGCACCGTGTGCACAGCTGTCACACCTCAGTCCGACCACGTTGGGCAGACACACACACTGTCCCGTCACCTGGTCACAGCTGGTGTAACGAGAGCCCTCTGCAGAGCACTGACAGGCTGCGACACAGTGACGCACTGTTAACTTTCTATTCATGGAGTTTAACTTTTCATTTGAGTTTGAAAGTCGAGCACATCTTTAGATTACATGCGACAGGACCAGCAGATAAACACACAGCACAGGTGCCTCCGAACTGTTTCTAAGTGCAGGGGCGTGTTTTTCACCAGGCGACTTACGGGTGCAGGCTGGGTAACCATAGTAACCGGGAGCACACTGCTCGCATGTGGCTCCGCTGTAGCTGGGCCGGCAGTGACAGTGACCTGAGGCGGTGCAGCTGGTGTCCAGAGAGGTGCGAGGATCGCAGGTGCACTCTGGGAAAATGAGAAGCGAGACACGTCATGACAAAATAAAACAAATAAAGTTCAACAAAGTTTCCAGTGGAAAACTTTCACCACTCCATTAGATTCCTGCTCACGAGCGGCTGAAGGTTTTAAAGAGTCATAACATTTTAAAGAGGCACTTTAACACTTCATGAGCGGGAAGTCAAGTGTGAGCGTGTGTGAGTCCAGATGTGTGAGTCCAGATGTGTGAGTCCAGATGTGTGAGTCCAGATGTAATATAGGGATATAAAGTTTTTTATCAGCAGGAACACATTCAAACTGACTGTCTCTCCACGTGCATGTGTCTGTGCGTGTGTGCGCGCGTGTGCGTGTGTGTGCGCGTGTGTGTGTGTGTGTCTGTGTGTG